CCGGCTGGTGGCCTCGGGTTGATGGTTTACCCTTGCTCAGCCTCCACTCCCCATCTGTAATCAGGCCCACCATGTATACAGGAAACTCTAATTACTATCATGATTGCTGTTGTTAATTAAAGCAGCCTAGGGGGCTGGAAGCAGCAGAGCCATGCCCCAAGAGCTGCTGTCACACGTGTGTGTCGGGACCACCAGGTTGCTAGCACAAATGCAGATTCCAAGGCTCGCACTGCAGGGAGCGCCCCTCCTTCTCTGGGATCAGCTTAGGATTCTCGATTTTAAAGAGCCCAGATGATGCCCACTGGAGACAAATGGCATCCAGCCCAACACTAGACACCCCAGACTGCTGTGGATAAAACTGTCACTGGTGGAAACCAGGGCTTGGCATCACTTGGGGACAATTGCCCAATTATGACTGCAGGTGGACTTTGTCAGTAATCATGGCTAGAAAAACTGGCACCAATAAGACACCTTTGGAGTCTCCAGTTTGCAGAAATAGCAAATGAACCATGTGTCCTGTTTGTGATTTCCTTCGGGAGGGACAGAGTCTGTGGATCATTGACCTAGGTCAGGCTCCAGTTCCAACATGAGCAGACAGCATGGCCTGAGCAAATTCCTTGGCCGCTCCACACCCATAAAATGGGAATAAGGATGGAGGCAACGGGACCTGCTGTATGTCAAGGTGGTGACCACACGAGGGGCCAGGAGCCCAGGCAGGGAACGAGAATCATCACAGAGCAGGGTGTAGGCCGTGGGAAAGAGGGATCCCCAGGGGTCACACCCTGAGGATGCACCCCAGGAAAATTCAGTAGCAATCTGTGCAGGGAGCTTCCCCATGTCCTCCAGGGAGCATGATGGACACCATGTTCACAGGGCACTGATCTCAACTCTGCCTCTCTTGTCCCAGTCCCCACTGGGCCTCCCCAGGTTTCCTCCTGGGCTGGACTCTGACCAGTTAGAGGAGAAACAAGGTGTTGGTGTCAGGGAAGGACTCTGCACTTTGGAACAGTAGGCTGATTGATTTATAGTCCCTCCTGGTCATAACCTGCAACCATCGGAGTAAGAACTGTCAGTTCAGATACCAGAAGCAACCCCATACATATGTGTCATGCCTTTGTTATAAAATAATCATCTGGGTGAACTTGTGGCTTCTGCTCTCAAAAATAAAGCAAGTTATATTGCATTCCAGCCTATGGAAGGGACAGTTCCCCCTTCTCCCCACAGTCTTGTGCCCAGAGGTAGCCAAGGACTAAAGATGCAGACAGGGGCTGGGGATGTGGCTCAAGCGGTAGTGCGCTCGCCTGGCATGCGCGGGGCGCTGGGTTCGATCCTCAGCACCACATAAAAATAAGGTGAAGATATCGTGTCCACTTAAAACTTAAAAAAGATGCAGATAGACATATCTGGCTGCCCTAGATTAGATCATGCTCTGAGGACAGGGACTCCTGTCCTGTCAGCACAGCCCCCTGCCCAGTCAGGCCCAGGGCAGCTGGGGCCCGAATGCCCAATGAACTCAACGCAGTGTGCTCCCTTCTGCACACCCAGCCCCCTCCCTCTCCTTGCAGCCCTGCTTTCCCAGAACTGGCTTGGAGGTGTGCACACCTTCTGACCTGGGCCCGAGCCCAGGGCCCTCTGTCTCCGCCCAGGATCCCCAAGCCCTCCACAACGCCAGTGGCTTCTGCAGAAGGGGCAGCAGGTGGGGAAATGCTGAAACAGTCAGGGGTCACCTTGTGCGTGTGCAGAGCTGGGTGAGAGAGAGCCCCAGAGCCCCAGTGGCAGGGGCTGTTGGGGATGGAGCCCTGGGCTGCAGGGCTGGCATTTGGCACCTGGCACCAGCATCCAGAGACTCAAGGCCATCCACCCTTTTCCCGAGGTGAAGCTGATGGACGAATGGTCTCAGGCAAGGAGTTGAGGTGGTCATCTCCCATCCGTGTGCAACCTACCTTCCAAGACCCCCAAACCTGAAATAGAGAGGTCTGATCTTGGAGGGTAAGGATTTAATATCCATTATGAGCTGAATTAAGTGGAGCCAAACTGAAGTTTAGGGGGATATGACACTGAATTGGTTTCCTGTGGGTGCTCTAAAGAAAGATCGCAAAGAAGTGGGGGGGGGGGGCTTAAAAAAAAGGATTCACCCTTCCACAGAGCTCTGGAGGCCAGGAGTCCAAAGCCAAGGTGTGAGCAGGCTGAGTTCCCCCTGAAGGTTCTGCAAGACCCTTCCTGCCTCTTGGGGTGCACGGTGGCCTGGGTATCGACGACCCCTTGGCTCCAATCTCTGCCTCTGTCTTCAAGTGGCCTTCCCCCTAAATCTCTGCAGGTTCTTTTCTGTCTCTTGTAAGAAGAGTCCCTTTGAATCTCCAGCCTTTGCTAATCCACTGTATTCCTGATCCTTACCTTAATTACATTCACACAGACCTTGTTTCCAAACAAGGTCAGGTCCCAGGTTCCAGGTGGACAAGGAATTTGGGGGGATGCTACTCATCTCAGTTTGACATTAAATATCAAACTGCACAGCAAGAATTAACAAGAAGGCGTTGGGAGCTGGGTGGACCTGGACCAGGGGTCCTGCAGGCAGGCCTCTGCCCTCTCAGGTCGCAGGGACTCTGGTCAGCACTCTGACTTCTGCCGCAGCTGGCCACTGGTTCCTGGCTCTCTTTCACAGATGAGCAAACTGAGGCTCAGAGGGGTTGAATGAGTGGCCAGGCCAGAGCTGGGACTGGAATCCAGGTGTGCATGGTGCCCCTGGGGCTGGGCTTGAGAAGCCTCCGGCAGTGAGAAGGTCCAAGATGCGTCCACTCAGGGGGGCCTCCTTTGTCAAGAGGACAAGTTGTTCCTGTGCTTACTCAGATCTTAGATTTTGGAATGTGACCACTTCCTTGGAATCCCATAAAAGAACAAGGCCCAAGAAAACAAGGAGTAACTCAGTCACTGGTTGTGGGGGGCACCCAACAGTCCCCCGATGGCACCTGTGCTGCTGGAAGCCACCTGGCTCTAACTCCATGCCTCTTCTCCCAGCCTGACGAGAGCCCTGGGGTGGCTCCTGGGAAACATGCCTGGTGGGTGGGGGCAGGAGAGAAGGTGCTGCTTCACCAACAGGCCTCCCCAACACAGGTGCGTCTGAGGACCCAAGAGAGAACTTCCCTAGAAGTTCTCAGCACCCTGGACCGTGCCCTGAGGAACCCACTCACTGTTCAACACCCCCGAGCGAACCCCAGAACCAGGCTGGGGGCTCTGCCCAGAGGGCACCCCAAGGCCGGCACATCTGGCAGCCACAAAGGAGATGGGCCGGGCCTAGATCGCCAGGACGTCAAAAGGACATCTTCTGGGGGAAGGGCACGGGGGAACCCACCTCGCTCGGTCCTGAGTTTCTAGAAGTGGAGGATCCTGAAGTTGTGGGATCAAGAGGTGGGACGCCGCGGGGCTCCCCTTCCCCCAACCACAGTACGGGCCGATGCAAATTCCCGGGGCAGTGGCTGCAACCCTCTGGTACTTCCTGCCAGGTTCTCTCTGACCCTTGGCCCATGTGTTTGCATTTTCTCTGTCCCACAGGCCGAGGAGGTGGCCCGTTGAAAGAAGATGGACTGATGATAGGCGACCGATAGTCTCCTCTGGTCAAGGTTTTTGGAGAAGACTTACTCCTCCCATCACCCCACCCCCAGGCAGGCAGGCCGCCTAAAAAATGCAGGTGCCGGCCCTCTGTGAGCTCACCACCTTCTCACAAGCCCCCTGTGGTGGTTATTATTACCCTCATTTTTCCGGGGAGGCGCCCAGGGCTCAGAGAGGCCAAGTGACTTGCCCAAGGTCACACAGCTCAGCAGGGGCAGATAGGGAATTGGAACGCGGGTCTCCAGAGCCCCGCTCCAGAAGCTCTTTCTAGACGGCCGCCACCTTCCCGGGATACTGCTCAGGAATAAAGCAGGAAGGCCCAGCTCCTGGCTTTCCCCCAAAAACAAGGCTCCGCGCAAATCTGCGGGAACAAAAGCGACCAGAAATCCGCCCCGGGTTTTCCGCCTCGCCAACCGTGGCCAACCAATCGGGTGGCGCCGGCCGCCGAGGGGCGGGAGGGGGCGGTTCCAGCGTGATCGACAGCCCCTGCGGAGGCGTGGCCGAGGAGCAGGCGAATCGGGTGGCGGGGCTGGAACAACCCGGGGCCGAGAATCCGCGGCAGGGCCAATCAGCGCGGGGGGCGGGCCCGGCCGGCCCGGGCTGTCGCGAGAGGCGGCCACCCCGCCCACTTGTGCTGGCCGCCGCCGCCGTGCGCGAGCGCGCTGCTCCTCGGCTCCGACGGCCCGGCGGCCGCGCTCGGCCCGATCCGTCCGCGGCAGCGTCGAGCCGAGCGGCGGCTGCGGCCGGATCCCTCCGCCGCGCCCGCGAGCCCGCAGTGGCCCGCGGCCCGCGCTCCGAGGCGGCGACGCTGCGCAGCCCGGGTTAACGGCCGGCCTGGGCGCAGGCGCGGGCGGCGGCATGGCCGGGGCGGCTCCGTCGGGGGGCGGCCCGCAGTGACAGACCCTGCGGCGCGGGGGGAGAT